CAAGCTGCATAGTACTAAGCCACTAAGGGGACATGGAGCCAGGACTTCCTACTTTGGTAATATTCTCATCATGCCCCTTTGGGATCCCAGCCTTGTTGATTAGCCTCTCTGCTTTCTCTCTATATAGTTCAAGCTACCTGTTTGTTCCCAGCAGTTCTTTTCCAGCCCATTTATTATGCAGTTCTGTATAGCTTTTCCTCCTCTTTTCTTATACCATGCTGCGGTTCTTATTGCTACCTAGAGGTTTTCAAAATTCCTAGGGGCGGACAAGTGGCATAAACAAAGGTCTTCCCTATTATCCTTCTTATTTTTTCACCGAGACTGAAGAGGTAGACAAAATAGAAATAAAGACATTAAGGGTATGTGTTTGTAGTCCCAAAGAGCTTCTCTGGCGATTTTATGTAGTTGAGGGTGACATTCTGAGTTCAGGACAGATTGGACTCCCTGGCTGACAGGAGTGAGGAGATAGGATGGTAGAGGAGAGCGTAGCGCAACTCTGGAGGAAGCTTTCCCCTCCCCTGTGCCAGTCCTGTTATCCCAGACTTCACCATAATTAAAGATGAGGGAGGCACTCAGTAAAGGGACCTAGTGGGAAGCTTGATCCAAACAGCCAAGGAAGGAGGTTCGCGCAGTTCCTTTGGCCACCCGGGGGGGTAATCGATCCATGGATGCCTTTCATATACAATTTAGGCACTTATACGTGTATTTCAATGTAGCGAACTCTACCATTACTCTTAAATTAATATTCTTTATTAGCTTCCATGGTGGCTATAGGCCAGGCAAGAGAGTTAAGAAGATATCAATAGCCAGGTATGGTGATGCAAGCCTGTAATCTCAGCACTTTGGGAGGCCAAGGCAGGAGGATCGCTTTAGTCCAGGAGTTCAAGACCAGCCTGGGCAAAATAGTTAGACCCTGTCTCCATTTTTTAAAAAAGCCTTGGGGCAGACAGGAGTACGGAGGTTTGGATGCTAATAGAACAGCAGTGGCTTACTGCTTGGAGTTCTCTTGTTTCATGTCCTATGACCATAGGCTTTGCATCACAGCAGTTTTTCCATGACTCCATACTTTTCACTTCTTGAGTGTTTTTTTCCTTTGTTCCTCGTCTCTGTAAAAAGCGATCAACTGGAGCTGGACTGTAATACCAAGTATGTCTAGAATATGGCACTATTTAACAAGTGTTACAGCATAAATAATTTAGTATGAGTCACTGTCATCTGAAGCTCCTTGTCTTTTCTTTCTTTCTTTCTTTTTGTCATCAATTCTGTATGTTTGAAATTCTGGGTTTAAGTTAGTTAGAATAAGGGAGGTTCGTAATTTCCCTAAAATGAGAAGCAATATGCAAAAGTTGATATCAGAAGCTATACTCTCGCTTTGCAACACCAAACAATACTGGCCCATTTGTTTTTTCAAAAATAATACTCCATAATAAATGGATGTATATACAGAAGCATAACAAAAATAGAAGCACATAAAAATGAAAAGTCTCATAAACCCCATTCTCACTGCTCATATAATTGCTGTTATAAATTTGTTTAAATGTTGAATAAAAATGGTGTCGTAGGCAACACAGTGTTCTACTACTTGCTGTTTTTAATAGCATTATTCCATCTCAGTGTGTATTGGCTTACTAGGTGCTCTTAAATAGTTGTATGGTATTACATCATGTAGATGAACTTGATTAATTTAAATAGTTCCCTGTTAATGGACATGTTGGTTCTTTTTTGTGAACAACTGATACAGTGAACAATTATTTCTGTATTTATTTGAGACAGAGCCTTGCTCTGTTGCCCAGGCTGGAGTGCAGTGGCATGATCTTGGCTCACTGCAAGCTCTGCCTCCAGGTTTCACGACATTCTCCTGCCTCAGCCTCCCAAGTAGCTGGGACTACAGGTGTCTGCCACCACGCCTGGCTAATTTTTTGTATTTTTAGTAGAGATGGGGTTTCACCGTGTTAGCCAGGATGGCCTCGATCTCCTGACTCCATCATCTGCCTGCCTCGGCCTCCCAAAGTGCTGGGATTACAGGTGTGAGCCACTGCGCCTGACCCAAAAGCTTTGCCTTTTTACAGATATTAGACATGTTTCTTGTTTAAGAAAAAAAACTTAAGAATAACATAGAAGAAGAGAAACGTTTTTCCAAAATAGAGAAATCATTGTGATTATTTTATCTTTTTGGAATGTTGGATAATATAGTCTGCTTCATTAATCATCAAGCATGCTATGGATTTTCCATTTTTATAGGCTTTGTATCTCAATTAAGGTAATACTGGGATTTTTGTACTGTATTTGAAGATGAAAAATATAGGCCAAAATCACAGATCTTGCATAGAAACTGGGTAATGAAGACAGATCTGGAAGTAAACATAGACACACACACGGACACACATATATATAAAGTACACACACATATATTTTTTAAAGTTTTAAAGCTTTTAAAGCCCCTCCGTTCTCCTAGAGTGGACAACCTCTCCCCTCTCTTAGAGTGGGTGGGGACAGCAGTTGCATGGGCAGCTTTCCTTGTGAGCCATGAGTCCCTCTGGACACACTGCTGTCTAGCCACGCCCCCATTCCCTTTCATCTTTCTAATTGACCAATGGGCTTGGAGCATTAAGGCCACGCCCCTATTTGGCATTCTACTGCAGCCCTGGTTACGCCTCCTCTGGCTCAGTCACACAGCTGCCTGGTAGGTGACTGGAGCTGTTGATCAGTGCTTGCTGGGATTTTGCTGATGTGGCCCCAACCCCGCCTCCCTCCCCACTCTGCAATGGCAGAAGAAACTCGACAGAGCATATTGGCTGAGGCCAAGAAAAAGGTAAAAACGTACCAGGTCATGGTCCCCCAACCCAGCCACAGATCCCCTCTGACAACAAGACCACTGCCAGAGTCCATACCACTCCTGAGGCACACTGGACTGGGCCCACTAACCCTAGTGCCTCTGGGCCACCCCCATCAAAGTTTTGTCAGTCAGCCTCACCCCTTCAGCAAGCAGCCCAGTCCCTGCCCTTGCCAATCGCCCCAGGGTGACTTTGGGTGGGTGACTCCTGGGGCTTCCTGCTGCATTACTGGGCCCTCATCTCCTGCTTCCCCAAGCTTGACCTCCCTGGGCTCTTTGGGCTTGCATCTCTAAGGACCTTGGTCCCCCAGCCCCAGGCCCTGCCCTTGTGTGTCATCCCTGGGTGACTTTGGGCTGGTAACTCCTGGGGCTCCCTGCTGCAGACTCTGCCCTCCCCTCCTGCTGCTTCAAGGTTGACCTCCCTAGGCTCTTTGCACTGGCATCTCCAAGGACCTGGGTCCCAACCTTGTGTTTCCCTCCCCCATCGTGGAGTGGTAACTCGGACATTGTGCTGATGTGGTCCCTCCCCCTCATCAGGAGGAGTGGAATGTAGTGATGTCACAGTCTGCCTAGGAACTGTCATTACTGGAAGACTGGCCTTTGATCTTATGACCCAGTCCCCTAAGCATTCTCACCCCATTTCTGGTTCCTCTGGTCACAGCACAAATTTGCAGCTGGAAGGGGAATGGAGACTGTGGGACCTAGGAGCAAGAGGTTTCAGGCTGTCTCACTCCCTTAACGTCAACATTGACAGGGGGGAAAGCCTACACTTCCCCTGTGAGCGCAAAACGTTGACCGTACCTCCATGTGGCAATGGGAGGATGGGTTTGGTTTGGTTTTCTCCCAGGCTTCTACTTTCCAGAGAGAGATTTTAACCCTTTTTTCTGTGTTCTCCACCTCATATTCTAATTCTCCATGGTTCTGGGACCAGACTGCCCTTCAGTCAGTGGTCTCTGAAGTGAGATTTGCTCATCTTCTGTGGAATAGATCTTGGGAAACTGAACTTGATAGCTTGAATCTTCCTCATATTATCTCAACCTGGTGTACCTTGAGTGCCACAGGACAAATATGGGACATCTTTCTGAAGCATCAGTTTCCCTTGATTCTCTTGAGATCAGGAGAGAAAATATTAATGTACTTAAGGATGACAGTCACAGGTTTCCAAGAGTATATCAGACTTCTCTCTGAAATGAGGCTTGGGTTGTCCTCTTTCTGATGAATTCCCAGATTTAACAGAAAGGCTGCCTTCTGCCATGAGGACACATTGATATAAAAGTTTGAGAGGTACTGGTGCACTTCTTGACACTAACAGACATGTGAGGATGTATGACTCTAAACCACAGGGCATACGGTTCCTGCCTACTTAATGTTTACTTTTCTACCTCTGCCTCTGGTTTTTGTCCTAGGCAGCTGCTGATTCTTCTCAAAACCCCAGAGCTTGGAGTCAGAAGACTGAGTTTCAAAGTTCCAGTATCATCTTTTTCTTTCCTTTTTTTTTTTCTAGCCAAGATATCAATCCCTCTCAGTCACTAAATGATTGTGACAACACCTTGTACAGTTGTTGGTGTTATTAAATCAGAGGTGTATAAGAGTATTTTGTAAAAACTGTAAAGGAGGATGTGGCTGTAGGGGCTGATGGTTCCATGAGGATTACTGATCTTCTTTCCTACAGTTAAAAGAATATTGGCAGAGAAACAGCCCTGGTGGTCCAGCAGGAGCGAAGAAGAACAGGAAAACAAATGGCAGTAGCCCTGAGACAGCCACTTCTGGTGGTTCCCACTCACCTGGGGATGTGAGTCTTGGTGGCCAGGCTCCTGGGGACAGGGGGCACAAGGGGCAGTAGAGAGTAATTGTTAAGATTGTGGATAGACTGTTGGGTACTGGTTCAGAATTCTGGGTTTGAATCCTGCCTCTCCATCTGCTAGGGATATGATTTAGGGTGAGTTGCTTGAGCTCTTTGGGCCTCTCTTTGCACATCTGTATAATAGAGGTGGTATTATTGTTTGACTTTCATTTGTGAGGTTTAAATGAGTTTTGTTACTGTTTTATGTTAATCCCTAGTACTTGGCCTGCTGTAAACACCCGGGACACCAGGATATGGTCATTGCTGTTTGAATTTCCTCATCCCCAGTCTCAAGGGGAAGCCAGGGCAATGAGAACAGCCATTTGCCATCAGGAGTCACAGAAAGGGCCCCAGGGTGGGATGGTGGGGAGATAAGAACCATGAGAGAAGTTGGCATAAAGGAGTTACGGGACAAAGGGTCCAAGATAGGCAGAAAAGAAAATGTTGCCCATTGATGGGGAAGAAAGGAAGTCAGAGGGCTTAGACACTGAGAGGCACAGAACATCTCCATGTGCACTCTCA